TATATATATATATATATATATATATATATATATATATATATATATATATTTATTTATTCATTTATGTTCATATAGTATATGAGTATCAAATATTATTTTTATTTTACATATAATACAATATCTAATGGACTCATGGAAGGAGTTGATGTGGGCTTCCTGTAGGGCAATGGGGCAACTTACAGTTAGCAGGGCGAGTGTGACCCGATTCGTACCCAATGTGTGAGAGAGACTTCCGAATCATGTGGGATTTGGCAAAATTCGTTTAACTCAGCTCAGTGTCTATTTACTTTACAAAGTTATTTATTTTATAACTGACAGAACAATCTATTTTAAGGAGACACATTGACTGTGCCGTACAAGTATTTGCATCACAAACCAACTGGTGGTTACGAAGTCAAAGATTTTTTGGTTCAAACCAGTGAGTTCAAGAAACTCGGCGTCAATCTACAGTTTTTCGTCGACTGTGATGGGTGAATTTCAATACTACAAGCTCAGTTTTGAAAGAACTCTTTTAGCCACAATGGGAAACGATGCAGTAACAGCGATTTATTCCCCTTTCCAAAAATCGGAATTAGGGGCGCTGCTCTGCGTGAACGACTGGTACCNCCTGTCGAGAGAAGCCTTTACGGCATCAGTAATGATTTCGCAAAGGGGAAATCGGGTTTCGCTGAACCAAGGGGAATTGAGAAACATCTTAGAAATACTGAAAATCATTTTTTCATTTTTGCTACAGCAGATTTCAACGCACTTTTGTATTTTCACTCTCAATCGAAAATTTATAGAAAAGAAGTCGAAGGTCAGCAGTGCAATACCATAAAGGAAGGCCAGAAAGTTAACTTCAAAATCAAAGTGAGTTGAGAATCAAATTCATGGTCAATTACTAGAAGGTCGAGTGTAAGCGTTTCTCGTTTTTTTTTATCAGCAAATGAACATTATTGTTTGGAGACTTTATGCTTACCTCTTAGTTCGATATCAAGCCTTTCTGCCTTATTCGATTGTAAGCTTGAGCACTGTGATACCATAACACTGCATCTGGCCACATTTCTTCCAATACATTTTACCACTTTTTTCCCGCAACCCAGAAAATTTCTGAATAGATAAATCTTCGATATAAGCCCCTCCCACTTTAGTGCAAACCTCTACCACCTCTGGGATCCCTCCACATTTGTCCTTTTAAATCTTACCACTTTTTTCCCGGGTCCTTTTCTGAACAGAGTCATAATTATTTTTGAGAAATAGCTTCCATTCGAACGCACGCGCCGCCCATCGTGGGCGGAGCTCGGCTAAGTTTATGCATGCCCAGCACGCATAAGGTTTTGCTCACTCCCTTTATCTTTTTTCTGGCCTCCACGCCTTCATTGAATAGAGTTATGATTTTGTTGGGAAGCACCGCCCACTGCGAGAACTCTCCTCCCACTGTGGGTGAGTCTCCCTCACTTCATTTGCTGACCCACCCCGCATTTTTGCTCATTTCTCCCTGTGTCTGGACTGTTAGGAAATCAAATGAGAAAGGTTTGCCTAAGACACCGCCCACTCCTGTGCATGTTCCGCCTCCTGAGGGCGGAGCTTCGCTGAGCTCACATATGCCTTGTTCTTCTTGCCCTATGCTCAAAATATTTCAAGTTGACTTGATCTCTCCAGGTGATCCTTCAGGTAGTATCGAATTTCGTAACAGAGAGACAGACGGACATGAGCGCTCTAAATTAGGTTATTCGAAAAGAAATGCGCGTTTGAGTTTAAAAAAATTTTTATTATGAAAATTAAACTAAACAAGATCACTTCAAAAGATATTCTCCATCACTATCAATGACTTGTTGCCAATGTACAGTAGCACTCGAAAGTCTTCGGTGAAATGGTTCTTAAGCCGTACTTTT